TGGGAGTCTTTTTGTGTGTGTGTGTGTGTGTGTGTGCGTGTGTGTGTGTGTGTGTGTGTGTGTGTGTGTGTATGTGTATCTGTCTATTCTGTCTGTCTATTCTGTGTGGAGTATGTATGTATCTAGTATTCCTACACTGTTAGGAAGAAGATGTGTCAAATCTCATCATAGCACTGATTAGCAGCTTCCTAATTGAAAGATGATCAAGTACAAATATATATAATTAACTTTGAACTGATGAGTGATTTTAGAAATTGCATGGCAAATTGGTCTGGGAATGGCTTGGAGCTGCCTCCGCCTCCCACAGGGGAAGCCCAGGAAGCAGCAGCTGTTTGCCAGGAGCTGTGTTCCTCCCTCTACTACTTCACCAGTCCTCTCTTCTCATCTCCCAGCCCTTCTGTGGGATTTCTGCAACCTCCTGGCTCTGAGCAGTACCAGATGCCTCAGTCTCCCTCTCCCTGCAGTCCACCACAGATGCCACAGCAGTACTCAGGTAAGAAGATAAGAGTTTGGGAGGGGCTTGGGCAAACATTTATGAAATATTTGTGCTCTGGAGCTGAGAAGGGTTCAAGGATCATCTGTGCCCATCACCAAAAAAAAAATCTTGGCTGGGTATGATGGCACATGCCTGAGTTGGGGGTAGTAGAGAGAGCACAGCTTTTTTTTGCCTGACTACAGCATTTTACTCATGTACCTTTGGATTATGAAATACTTACCTCTGTCTCTTGCACTCATTCTTCTTTTAGACAGTTTTTCTTTTCTCAGGAATATAAAGGAAGTTGAGAGATACTTTTTAAGTCATATTGTAAATCTTTTTAGCAGTTTTTAGCAGTGTACTCGCATATGTTGTGACATTTTAATTATTCTCACCACAATTTTGTGAGGTGGAAATTTAAGAATCAGAGAGATTAAACTACTTATTTAAGGTCGTAGTCCTAGAACTTGAATTTTGATCTTTGGACTTCCCATACCCTATGCTACATTCTCAACAGGCCTTTTTCCTCTTTACCTCCAGTGGGAAATATTAGACTTCATGTTAAATACCTATAGGTCCTCTACTAAGTCACCAGCTACTCCAGATGAATAGGTTTATGCTACACAGCCTCATGTTTTCTGCCCCCAGACACCAGGTGCAGCTGCTCTTATTTGTTTTCCTTTCGACCCATCATCCTGAGACAGCAGTACCTTAACTGCAGGGTTTCTGGAGAGGGAGTCTTAGCTTCCAGCTATCCCTACCCCACTCTATTGTAGGGATGTCTGAGTGCCCTCTTCTGGTGAGAACGGGATATTTAGCTAGTTATCCCCTGTTTTCCCTGTTTTGCCTGTTAGAAGTGGGGTATTTTTCACTTAGTTGGGGTTTTTTTGCATTCTCACTATTAGATGCTATAGGGTGATTCCAGAATTAATCTGCTTATAGGACACAGTAAGTTCTTAACTTTAAGGTGGGTGTTGTCCCTCAGCTCTTCAGCTCAACGCTAGCGCTCTACCACTTGAGCCACAGCACCACTTCTTCCGGCCTTTTCTGCTTATGTAGGGCGGAGGTATCAAACCCAGGGTCTCATGCATGCAAAGCAGGCACTCTACCACTGAGCCACCTTCCCAGCCCTGCCATGAACCTCTTGTCTCCAATTAACTACCCGCAAAAGGCTGGAAGTAGAGCTGTTCCTCAAGTGATAGAGTACTAGCCTTGAGCAGAAAAGCTTAAGGACATTACCCAGGCTCTGAGTTTAAGCCCTGGGACCAGCACAAAAAAAGTGAAGTGAGGGGCTGGGAAGTTGGCTCAGTGGTAGAGCGCTTGCCTTGCATGCCTGAGGCCCTGGGTTCTATTCCTCAGCACCACATAAGCAAAAAGAAAAAAGCTGGAAGTGGTTCTGTGGCTCAAGTGGTAGAGCGCTAGCGTTGAGCTGAAGAGCTGAGGGACAGCGCCCAGGCCCAGAGTTCAGGCCCCATGACCGGACCCCCCCCCAAAAAAAAGTGAAGGGGGGCGGGGGGAAAAATATGTGTGTGTGTGTGTGTGTGGAATTTTTTATTACTTCCTGGGCCTAGTGTTAAGTCACTAAAGCAATTTTTTGTTCTAGAAACTGAAAGTACTAGAGAGGGGCTGAGGATGGAAAGAGGTAATCTAGGCTTCTCTAAAAAAAAAAAATGAACAAAACATTTCCATCATCTGTTTATCTTGCTTATTTGAAATTTTCTCAGTAATATCTTCTTTCTTCCCAGTACCTTGATTGTTCCTAGCCTTTTGACTGACCTTTATATCTTTCCCAAATGGTGGTTCTACCCATGTCATCTAAGAGACCATATTCACCTAACCTTTGGTTTTAAAAGTTTTCAATCCTTGTTCATAGAAACTAAGAGAAAATTGAAAAAGAAACAAATGTCTCTTCTGCCTTCTTTTCAGTTTACCCTTTACTAGAAAAAGAGATGGCAGGAATAGCCCACAAGGTCTACTCTGTCACCTTCAGATGACAGTCACCGCCCTCCTCTCATGTAGCAACATGGTCACTTTTCCAAAAATAAAGGCAGGGATTAGGATTGGCCATTCCTGGAACAACTGTTCTGGTTTATTAATACATTTTTGTTTCCCCATCTATCCCCCAGGCCTAGCCCAAAATTCTGCCACTATATTAGATATAACTATAACTCCAGGAAACACTCTTCTTCCCATTAAAATGATGGCTTGCAGGTCCCTTGAGATTTCTACATGGATGCTTGTCTGGGGTAGATGCATACAGATATGAATAGCAATAATACCTATACATACCTTCCCAACTCACAGTGACACAGCAATACAGACAGTGTGGCACATACAGAAATAACCTTTCACATACTTACTGGCTTTTTTTTTTTAAGCTGAAAGGTTTCCAAAACTAAAACTATTCTTTTCACTTCCTGAAGATACAGCCTTCTCTCCTACCCCCCCCCAAAAAAGGATAAAGGTCAAGATGCTGATTTCCATCCTAGGCTTCAATTAGGGTCTTATAGCTCTGGATATTCTTTTCCATATATTTGGTTGCAGATAGTAAGGAAGAAGCCTTAGTCTTCTATCTCACTGATTTAAAAAAAAAAAACACAAAACTATAAACAAAAAAAACCAATTCTGCCATACATAAATGTCATCTGTTTGTATTTATGCGGTTTGCTCTGCCCAGTCGACCTTTCTGCCCAGGTTTAATGATGCCACTTAAAAAGCCATTCACATGTCCCCTCTCCTTTCAGAACTTTCAAGCTGAAATTGATTTCCTTATTCAGCCTCCTTCTTCTGCTCCCCACCAGCTCTCAACCCAGGTTCCTTCCCCCAACCTGATTATATGGAAGTGCTGTCACTGGGCAGAGAGTGTTTTTTTGTCTCTTCTTTTTTTTTTTTTATTGCCACGTCCATTAAGAAGTAGCGACAGTTCAGCTCCTAACGGATGCCACCTGCTTTTGGCTTGAGGAAGAGAAGCATAAAAATCAGCTCATCAGCAGAGTAGTGCTTCGTGTCCTCGGTTGAGTGAAGGAACAATGCTCCAGGCCAGTGGGGGAGGACTAAGCATGGAGAGCTCTAGATAGATGCTGAAACTAAGAATGCTGGCTGTGTTTTTGTTGTGATCAGAGAAAATAATACAAGGACTTTATTCATTTTGTTTTGTTTTGTTTTTCATCCCCAATAGCTCCTTATGGCTACATGTTAGTATTAGAAACAGCTTCCTCTGCCCTGCTTATGCTCACCCCCTACATGCTCACACATTCCCCCACCTTTCTTGGCCTAGGGCATTAGGCTTAGATTATGAGCTGCCTTCTAGAAAAGCTGTAGATTTGATTATTTTTGCGTTGGCCCCTCAGGTAGCAATGAGGAGTTTGAATAAGGTCAATTGCAATTTTGTTGGTAGAGTATGTTGGAACGGATAGGGCTTTTAGAATGGGGAAATAAAAATGCCCAGAGCAACTATAGTAAGGGGAAAGTTGTTAAATGCATGGCAGTCTACAACTATGCAATTTTCCCTTGGCCCTTCTACATGCTATGCTAATGAATACCCTATTCCCTTTGGCAGGAGATAGGAAGATATAAGCTGTTGCACTATTTGTATTCTCTGATTGGATGAACCATAGAGGGTGGAGCACACAAATTGGCTGGAGAATAGGACCCAATAGATGCTTTGTCTCCCTCAGCTGCCCTTTTAGGCCTCCTGTCATCACTTCTTTTCCTTTCTTTTGACCAGCACTACTTGAAAAAAGCAATCACACTCACCTCCCAGCCTGACTGGTACCTAGGATAGAGGCTGTAACATTTCCCATCATAGGAAGCAATGTAGCAATAGCAGTGGTAGCCACAAATCATTGAGCCATGAAAACATTAGCACTGAAGCAGGTTTCCAAACTGGTAACCACAGCTCAATTTCTCTACCACCACACCCCAAACTCTGTACTGCCTTGGAGGTCAAGGACAAAATTGAAGCCCTCAAGCTAGACATTCTTACGAACTCCTCCCTGTCCAGCAACTGGCTTTTTTTTTCTTTTTTGTCGGACATGGGGCCTGAACTCTGGGCCTGGATGCTGTCCCTCAGCTCTTTTACTCAAGGCTAGCACTTACCACTTGAGCCACAGTGCCACTTCCAGCCTTTTCTGCTTATGTGGTGCTGAGGAATCAAACCCAGGGCCTCATGCATGCAAAGCAAGCTCTGTACCACTGAGCCACCTTCCCAGCCCATGCAACTGGCTTCTTAACTCCTTATGTTGTTGTCAGGATGAAGATTTAGGACTTAGTAGTCTTCACTGTACCCTTAGCTTCCTCTATCCCATGAGTCTTGGTGCTATTATGATTACTAGTACCAGAATGATAGAATCATATCCAGTCAGCCACCTAAACCTGTCAGTGTAGCCTTTAGAAGGTCTGAACCTCTCTCTGTCCTCTGATATTGCCCTCATTCAGAACCTTCTCCTTTGTTTCAGGACCTTCTAAATCATCTTTTTGTGACTAGATTCTCATCCTGTACTTAGACAGTTGGATTGGCTCTCCAAAGCATCATTTCTGTCCCAACATGTACAGAATAAAGTCCAAGCATCTTACCAGAGTGTACTTCAAACTCTGCAAGTCAGCATCAGCTGTTTGCTTAATGTCTGGGTCTTAATAGATAGTTCATTTTATGATAACATAGACCAGCCTTGTTTATTGTACACTCAGTGCCCGGCATAAAGACTGGCACATACAAATGCTCAGTAAACGTTTATTGAATAAATCTACCTCAACTCCTACTGCTTTCCCTATATTCCCCTTAAAGTAGTCTTAGCATTTTGAATCATTTATCATATTCTCAATATGCATATATCTCAATATTCCTTCTGCTTGAAATATTTCCCAATTTATCCTATCCTTGACTATGAAATACTTTTTAGGTCTGGTTAGTGAAGCCATCTGTGTACATTTACATTCTCTAGAATGTTTTCTAGCTTATCTTCAGTTCTTACCAGAAAAGCTTGCACATCTCTGCAGCCCTGGCCTATGCCCCAGACCAAATCAGTATCATGCCTAGATATTTGAGTAATCTGACCTGTGTATTTGGTAATACCCAACTTTGGCAGAATGGAGTAGTTTTTCTGCCAACCATACCAAAGTGCTCCTCACCAGGTGAAGGCCAGAATGGCATTGGCATCTGGGATTCATCGTCCTTCCACTCAAGTTTCCACTGGTATAGGAAAAGAAAACAGAAGCCAAATCAGCAACCACCTCAAATTTCTATCAGGACACATTTTGAATGACCCTGAAATGAGTGGGTGGATTTGCTTACTGGTTTTCTCATTCAGGGAAGGGATAACTGGAAGTCAGAAATACAGTTTGAATTCCCAACCAACTTCTTTCTTCTGCTACTTAGGAGTATCACCTTCTGGACCAGGTGTGGTGGTCATGCAGCTTAATGTTCCTAATGGACCCCAGCCTCCTCAGAACCCATCCATGGTTCAGTGGAATCACTGCAAATATTACAGTGTAGACCAGCGGGGACAGAAGCCTGGAGACCTATACAATCCTGACAGTAACCCCCAGGTGAGTCTTCCAACCCACTCTTGTCTTGGAAGAGGGGACCAGCTCCTTCCCAGAGGATGATCTTTATTAACTGAGCAGCCTCTTTTTCACATTTTTTCTAAACATTTTGGAGGAGAAGCACAGTAGAAGTGTTCTCTTATAGGGAACCTAATATCTAAAGTGACAGAAGGAACACACATTTAAAAAATTCCCAAGCCATGGGCTGGGAAGGTGGCTCAGTGGTAGAGCGCTTGCCTTGCATGCCTGAGGCCATGGGTTCGATTCCTCAGCACCACATAAGTAGAAAAAGAAAAAAGCCGGCTCAAATGGTAGAGCGCTAGCCTTGAGCTGAAGAGCTGAGGGACAGCGCCCAGGCCAAGAGTTCAGGCCCCAGGACCGGACCCCCCCAAAAAAAAAAAATTCCCAAGCCAGGTGCTGGTGGCTCATACCTGTAATTCTAGCTACTCAGGAGGCTGAGATCTAAGGAATTTGGTTTGAAGCCAGCCCGGGCAAGAAAACCCATGAGAGTCCTATCTCTAGTTAACCACTAGAAAACCAGGAATGGGGCTGTGGCTTAAAAGTGGTAGAGCACTAGCCTTAAGTAAAAGAACTCAGGGACAGTGCCCAGCCACTGAGTTTAAGCCCCATGACTGACCAAGAAAAAAAAGGGTGGTGGGGAGAGATTGTCAGGAACACTGACTCCTGCCTGTAAATCCTAGCTAATCTGGAGATCTGAAGGGTCATAGTTTGAGGCCAACCTGGACAAAAGTTAGCAAGATCCCATCTCAACTGAGCCATTATTAACATCTATAATCCAAGCTCTGACAGTTCAGGCCAGCCTGAACAAAAAAACACAGTCCCTGATCTGAAAAATAACTAAAGCAAAAAGGCCTTGGGAGCCAGGCAACAATGATTCATGCCTATAATCCTAGCTACCTAAGAGGTTGTGATCTAAAGATCAGAGTTTGAGGCTAACTAGGGCAGGAAAGTCTTCTCTCTAATCAACCACCAAAAAACTAGAAGTGGAGCTGAGGCTTAAGTGGTAAAGTGTTAGCTTTGAGCACAAAAATTCAAGGACAGGCCCAGGCCCTGAGTTCAAGCTCTGGGGGATCCAAGGGCATAGTTTATGTGGCAAAATGCCTTCCTTTCAAACATGGCACTGAGTTCAAACCCCAGTATCCACCCAAAAAAAGTAAATAATAACTGGACACCAGTGACTCATGCCTATAATCCTAGCTGCATAGGAGGCAGAGATACAAGGATTGCAATTTGAAACCAGCCTGCACCCCAAAAAAGTAGACAACAACTGGGTGCCAGTGGCTCACAACTGTAATCCTAGCTATTCAGTAAGCAGAATGAAATTCAAAGCCAGCCTAAGCAGAAAAGTTCATGAGGTTCCTATCTCCAATTAACCAGCAAAAAACTGGAAGTGGAACTGAACTGTGACTAAAGTGGTAGAGTGCCAGCCTTGAACAGAAAAATGCTAATAAGGAGGGTAGTGCAAGGCCCTGAGTTTGATACAGTATGACCACAAAGCTTTTTTCTTTTTTTAAGTACATATTAAAATAATTCAAACTGAGCCAGGCACAGGTGGTTCACACCCTTAATCCTGGCTACTTAGGAGGCTAAGATCTGAGATCACGGTTCAAAGCCAGCCCAAGGAGAAATGTCCAGGATGTCCTTGAGACTCTTATCTCCAATTAACTACCAGAAAAACACTTTGAGCACTGTGGCTTAAAGTAGTAGAGCACTAGCCTTGAGCACAAGAGCTCAGGGACAGGGCCCAGGCCCTGAATTCAAGCCCTACAACTGACAAAAAATAATAGTAATTCAAACTGAGCTAGGGATGTGGCTTGAGTAGCAGAGCACCTGACCAACAAGCTCAAGGCCCTGATTTCAAATCCTAGTACTGCCTACAAGTAATAATACAAACCAGGACTGTATCTGTAGCTATATGTCAGTGGTTGAGTGTTTGCCAAGCATGTGTGAGACCCTGGGTTTAATACCAAGCACTGGGGAAGAGGGTTGGGGGGAACCGTAATAATCATACAAATTAGGGATTAAGAAAGAAATTTAAGTGGGGGGAGATGGGAAGGGGAAACAAAGGAGGGGGTAACAATGCTTGATAAGAAATATACTCATTACCTTGCCCATGTACTTGTAACCCCTCCATACAATATTTTCACAATTTAATAAAAAAAGAAATTTTTTAAAAAAACAACCTGACTTTGATGTAATTTACAAGAGGAACATTTCCTGAGAGGTGGACTTAAAGCCAAACCATAAGAATACTCAGCATGTGATGTGCACTTGTCTCTTCCACAGGCCAACACACAAATGAGCAGTAGCCCTGTCACATCTCCTACCCAGTCTCCAGCACCCTCTCCTGTTACCAACCTCAGCAGTGTCTGCACTGGACTCAGTCCTCTGCCTGTCCTCACACAGTTCCCCCGGCCTGGGGGCCCTGCACAAGGTAGGGTGTTATATTAGAACTGTCTGTTCTGGAATTCACCCTTTACATTTATTCCAAGCTGGGGAAATTAGAGAGTACCAATAGTCAACCACTAGTGTGGCTGATCTAATTCTGTGAGCTAACTGTTCTTCTTTAGATCCCTATGGAAGCTAAGAACACCTGCCCTTCTCTACTACTACTCTTAATTAGCTTACTCCAGCCCTCCTTTACATACTTATTATTTACTACTGAGTAAAAAGAGCTAGGGAAAAGACGTTCACTGAACTTTCTAATTAATTTAACCTAATGGTAGTACTGAGTCTGAGGGTTAGGATTATAGAGCTTTGCCAGAAGTATGGTTTTAGGAGAGGAAACACTTGGGCTTGGGTTAAAAGATTTCTGTTCAAGTTTCAGTAGCTTTATGATTTTGAGCAAATTACTTAAACTCAGAATTAATTTTGTAATGTATAAAGCTATGTTAATCACATGTAAGATGGGAGGAACCAGCTGGGCACCGGTGGCTTCACGCCTGTAATCCTAGCTACTCAGGAAGCTGAGATCTGAGGATCTCAGTTTAAAGCCAGCTCAGGCAGGAAAGTCCATGAGACTCCTATCTCCAATAAACCACCAGAAAACTGGATGTGGCACTGTAGCTCACTGGTAGAGCGTTAGCATTGAGTTGAAGTGCTGAGGGACAGCACCTAGGCTCAGAGTTCAAACCTCACAACCAACAACAACAAAAAAAAAAAGATCTGCTTTCTGCCTTGGCTATCACAAGTAATTTAAAAATAAGAATGTAGTTTTAGGGGCTGGGAAGGTGACTCAGTGGTAGAGCGCTTGCCTTGCATTCATGAGGCCCTGGGTTCGATTCCTCAGCACCACATAGGCAAAAAAAAAAAAAAAAGCCGGAGGTGACGCTGTGGCTTAAGTGGTAGAGTGCTGGCCTTGAGGTGAAGAGCTGAGGGACAGCGCCCAGGCCCAGAGTTCAGGCCCCACGACCGGACCAAAAAAAAAAAAAAAAGAATGTAGTTTTAAAACTCTAAGCTGCTCTCAAATATAATGTTTTATTAATAATAGGTAGTGCTTGGGTACTTAACAACATGTATCAGGCATTGCTACAAGCACTTTACAGGTCCTGTATTGATTTAACCTTCCAACAATACCAAAGAGGGGAAAACATCCTAACATTACTTTTCCCATAACAAAGCCAGTATTTTAGCTTAGGCAGTCTGTCTCCAAGTCTCTCGTCTTTTTCACCACACTGTATTGCCTTTCACATGAATCAGAAACTTGATCCTGGTTTGAGGGTGAGGACAAAAGTAAAAAACGACATTGGTAAAGATCGGGGCTGGAAAGTTGGCTCAGTGGTAGAGCGCTTGCCTTGCATGCATGAGACCCTGGGTTTGATTCCTCGGCACCACATAAGCAAAAAGAAAAGCCAGAAGTGGCACTGTGGCTCAAGTGGTAGAGCGCTAGCCTTGAGCTGAAAAGCTGAGGGACAGCACCCAGGCCGAGTTCAGGCCCCATGACCGGACCCCCCCCCCAAAAAAAAAAAAAAAAAGATCTGTAGGATTGCTGGATGCTGATGGCTCATATTTGTTATCCTAGTGACTCAAAAGGCTGAGATCAGAGGATCAAGGTTTAAAGCCAGCTGGGGCAGGAAAGTCCATAAGACTCTTATCTCCAATTAACTAACAAAAACCCAGAAGTGGCACTATGACTTAAAGTGGTAAAGCACTAGCCTTGAGCAAAAGAGCTCAGAGACAGCACCCAGGCCCTGAGTTCAAGCTCTACAACTGACCAAAAAATACAGATCTGTGGGTTTCTTCCCTGGACATTTCTAATGCCTTTTGTCTACAATGGATGGAACTCTTCTTCAAGCATATGAGGATCAAATAGTCCAGTTAGTGAAATATGGCTGAGAACCAAGGGGATTAGGGAAAGAGACCATGCTTTATTTTTGCCATTTAGCACTTTCATTTCATTCTTTTTCTCTCTCCAATTTTTGTAATATTACTGTCTGTCCTTTATATTTTTTCCAGAGGGGTTTCATTGTGATATTTCCATACTTGCAAATAGTCTACTTTGATCATATTCACCCCCTCTATTACTCTTATCTCCCTTTTCCTACTTTTTTCAGTAATTTTTATGGGTCTCACTTTCTATTTGCATACATTTATAAATATTCTTCAATCACATTCATCCCATATTATACTTCCTTTTTGCTTTCCTTCTTCTTGCTGGGTGATAGCTCTTAAATCAGTCCATGGTATTCCCATCACAGAAAAATGTAGAAATAGGGACTGGGAAGGTGGCTCAGTAGTAGAGCGCTTGCCTTGCATGCATGAGGCCCTGAGTTCTGTTCCTCAGCACCACATAAGCAAAAAGAAAAAAGCCAGAAGTGGCGCTGTGGCTCAAGTGGTAGAGTGCTAGCCTTGAGCTGAAGAGCTGAGGGACAGCGCCCAGGCCCAGAGTTCAGGCCCCACGACTGGACCCAAAAAAAAAAAGAAAGAAAGAAAGAAAGAAAAAAGTAGAAATAGTATACATTGTTACCACCCATCTCCAAAGCCTACTGAAATCTCATAATAGCCATACCATGATGCTTGAGCTTCTCCAAAACCATCTGGTTTTATTCCCTAGGTGATGGGCGTTACTCTCTTTTGGGCCAGCCATTACAGTACAATCTCTCCATTTGCCCTCCCTTGCTCCACAGCCAGTCAACTTACACGGTGCATCAGGTAAGAATGTCCACTATCAGCCTTAGAGCCATTAGGCCCTCTTCTCACCTGGAACCCTATCCTTGAGCCACCTGCTTCTACTAGCTGGGTACACATGGGAGACAAAACAAGAACAGCCTTGCCACAATTCTCTGCACATGCTCTGACCCAACCCCACTGTCAAGAGGAAGGGACTCTTTGTATCTCATTGGTCACTATCTGTCTGCTTGGGTGGAGACTTTAGGGTTGGCTGTCACTCCCCAATCTCTGACAGACATTGGGACACAGGCAGTCAATGTTGTTTTCTTGAGGTGAAAGTTACCTTTCAAATATTGAAGGGACAGAGTGGATTGAAGCATGGAAACCGGGGCAAGAGACAAGCACTCAAATCAGCCTCCACTGACTTAGGGACAGCAGATGTTGGTAAGTGACAGGATGCCAAATCCCTAAGAGAAGGTACCCTACTCTCCAACCCTTCATTAACAACCCAGGATGGATTAGAAAACTAGCTTAGAGTGGGGGAAGTAGGGCCCTTTAGGTGTGCTCAAAAGCAAGCAGAAGGTAAAGTATCTCAGATTCCCCAGCTAAGCCGCACCAGGTAAAATTGGGAATAGCACTGTAATGGATGTTGCTGGGCCTCTTACTAAACAATCTTCTAGGAGCAGTCCTGATCCTAATCTAGGACATCTCCCTATTTAAGAGGAGATTGGTAGAGAATGTAGCCTTTATGCTAGGCAAGCAAGTTTTCTTTGGAGTCATTTGTGGCAGTTGACTAAACAAGAAAATAAGGGAAAGGGACTTTCCTGGATGATAAGAAGGAACAGTCCATTTGGGCCAGCCTCTGAGTGGGAAGGAAGACTCAGTAAAAGCAACATTTCCTTCATAGCAGTGACTGACTATGAAATAAATGAGGTGTAGGTCCTCAGCTCATAAACCTAGTTCCTTCTTGCCTGTATCTCTTGCTAGAAGAGAAGGGTTCATTTTTACCTTCTGCTTGTCCTGATTAGAGTCTAGATAGTAGGAAATTATAGTGACTTGAAGAGGGGAGGAAGGGTCTAAGTGGGAAGGTTGGGGCTTTTGAGGACATTGTATATACTTAGCCAGCCAAATTCTCTGCCAGTCCTTTGTTCAGTCCTTCTTTCTCTACCTCTCACAACAATGTGTTCTTTCTTCCCCTCCAGTCCTGGGGCGGGTGCTGGAGGTGACAGATCTCCCTGAGGGTATCACCCGTACTGAGGCGGACAAACTCTTCACTCAGCTTGCCATGTCTGGCGCCAAGATCCAGTGGCTCAAGGACGCTCAGGGGCTGCCTGGTGGAGGTGGGGGGGATAATGGTGGGACTGCTGAAAACGGCCGCCACTCTGACCTCGCTGCCTTGTACACCATCGTGGCTGTGTTTCCCAGCCCCCTGGCTGCCCAGAATGCCTCTCTTCGCCTCAACAACTCTGTGAGTCGCTTCAAACTACGAGTGGCCAAAAAGAACTATGACCTGAGGATCCTGGAGCGAGCCAGCTCCCAATAAGTGGAGGAGGGAAAGGGACTTACATAGTAGGGGACAGGGCAAGGTGGAGGGGGCCAAGGCTAGATTTACCTAGCCAGAGGCAAGAAGTAAGGAGACAGACGCCAGACTAGAGCCTAAGATGTTAGGGATGAAGCAAGAAACAGACTCACACAGGCACTGGACTCCAACCGACTTCCTACCATGGCACCCCCTCTTTCTCCCTGGTTGCCCCTCCCCCATTTCCCTCTCCTTCCCATTCTCTTCTATCATTTTTTATATCTTCCACCCTGAAATTCGTTTCTTTCAAATTTTTGGCAAGGTAGAGTTGGGGAGGGTCTCACACTCTCCTCCTCACCTATTTCCTCACCATCCCAAGCTCCTGTTTCCTTTTTTGGTCTTTACGAATATATTTATATGGACAGAATTAAGAAAAACAAAATTGATTTCCCCATTCTCTCACTTCCCCCATCTTATCTCCCCAAACCCCACAGAGTTAAAACTTGGAACCACCCCACCCCACCCCACCCCACCCCCAGAACACTTGTATATTGTTTGTTTGAGGTTTGTGCCGCAGTAACAGACACAGTATTTAATTGCACATACAGATGTTTGCTGGGTATATTCACTGTAAATTTTATTTAATCTGGTTTTTTGTTTGTTTGGGGGGTTACTTGTGGGGGGAGGTTGAATTTGTTTTTAAATATAAAAACTTGTCACTGGACATGGGTCACTGTTTCTCTATTGCCGCCTGGAAATGGATGGGGGCTTGGGGTTCTGGGTAGGTTCAGCCACACAGCTGTTAAAGGGGTTTGTCATGTGTTGGGATGGCTTTCCCCAGCATGTACACATATATTTACATTGTTCCTTTTATCTCATTCTCTTCCTTCATCCAGTTCTAATAGATGGCTGGGTCTCTGTGGGACTGTTATGAACAGCAGTTCATCAACTCTGGACCTCTGTGTCCATACCAAAGGCTTCTTTATTAATTCTCATATTCATTTAGGATGCTTAAGCTGAGCCTGGGAGGAATGACTAAAGTCCAGAACTGGACTGAAATGCTGTTCTTCTAATCTGAAAACCCTTCAAGGATGGATAATGCCTAAAACTACGTGATTAGGTTCCACTTGGCACAAACAGTTGTGTTTCTTACAATAAAAACTATACCAAGCCTAGGCACTAGTGGCTGACACCTGTAATCCTAGCTATTTAGGAGGCTGAGATCTGATCTGAGGATTGTACAAAGTCATCTTGGGCAAGAAAGTCTAAGACTTATTTCCAATTAGCCAGCAAAAAGCTAGAAATGGAACTGTGGCTTAAGTGGTAGAACTCTAGCTTTGAGCAAAAAAAGCACTGAGACAGTGCCCAGGCCCTAAGTTCAAAACACCAGAACCAGCACAAAAAAAAGGAGCTATACCAAGCTGGACACCAGTGGGTAGTGGTCCATATCTATAATCCTAGTTACTGAGGAGGCTGAGATTTGAGAATCTAGATTCAAAGCCAGCCTATGCAGACAAATGTAAGAGACTCTTACTATCAATTAACTAGTAAAAAGCTGGAGCTGTAGGGGTAGCTTAAATGGTGTAGCACCAGCCATGAGCAAAAAAAGCTGAGCAGGAGCTCAAGATCCTGAGTTTAAGCCCTAGTACCCAAGGGGAAGGGAGGGGAGAAGCTACACCAACTAAATTTACAATGCCAAGATGCTGTATTACCCAGGCATGTTAAACAGCCCTGTCCAGTGCAGCTAAAGAAAACAAGAGCAGAAATCACCCTACCTACAAGATAGAACTTGTCTTCTCAAGGCCTCCCCTATTCTCTCCAGCCTGTCAGGACAGGACTATTATTAAGCCTGTAGCCTCAGACCCATTATGCACCCATTAAAAAGAGAATAATAGATGGAAATAACATCTGATATGCTAGCATTGTCCTAGAAATCTCTTGGGCCTGGATAACTATGACTCTAGCCACATTCCCATAAGAGCTTATCTGACCTAGCTTCTAATGTAGTCCTTTATTTTTCCCAAATACATGGGATATTTTACATGGTACATTGTTTTCCTCCAGGATCTTGGTCGTGTCACAGCCCAAAGAATAGAGGAAGCTGTATCCCTGTAAAATAATGCCAGCCAACCCTTGGTTTCTCAGTTCCTATATTGTGGCATTCATGGTAGGTGGAGGAATCTTGGAGTGAAGATGATTTAGGAATAAGGATAAACTACCTTACCTTCAAGGATTAGCAGTTCTTATGGGGAAAGAGACATTATTTACAGATGATAAAAACTTGCTATAGAAGACAGCTATAACCTTCTGTCTGGTTAACTAACCCCCTAAGATTATTAGACCTTAGTTTCCCAGAATCCCTAATAGGAGTTGCAGTGTGCGTGTGTGTGTGTGTGGTGTGTGTCATGGCAGTACCACTTCCAGTTTTCTAGCGGTTAATTGGAGGTAAGAGTCGCATAGGCTTTCCTGCCTGGGCTGGCTTTGAACAACAGTCCTCAGATCTCAGCCTCCTGAGAAGCCAGGATTGTAGGTGTGAGCCAGCAGTGCCTGGGTGCAGCCTAACTTGTTGAAGCTATTACAGTTCCCTTTACCCTGAGGACAAGATTTCAAGGAGAAAAGATTCCTCTGAGAGCTGAGCAGCGCTACCTATGTATTCTTTGCTCTTACAGGATAGCACTTAACTACAGATGACGTAGCTATATGGCTGGCTGACGTGGGATCTCTGAGAATAAAAATCCTATCCTCATCAGTTCCTAGCCCAAAGTCAGGAATAGATCAATGCTTGAAGGCATGCAAACACTGGACCACTCAAAGACTGACTGAGAAGATAAGTCGTTTCTAAAATAGGCTTGGAGAGGGTAGATTTAGGGAGGTGCTTGGACCTTGAGGGAAAAGGGAGAGAAAATCACTTTAGAATTCTTCCTTCATGTTCAGACATTTAAGGTCCCTTTAAATGAGTATTGTAAGGACAGCCCTGCTAGGTTATAGCTCAGTAGAGCCACTTACATAGCATGTGTAGAGCCCTAGTTTTATCCTCAATTTTGCAAAGAACAGAGAAAGAAAAGAATACTATTCTTGACTTTAGCCAGAAAAGATGTGTTCACCATAGATGAAGAATCAAGGAAGAACAGCCCTGGGGGGATGGGAGGATGTAGGGTCCGGCCCTGCCCCAGACTCCCCGTGTCCAATTTCTCCATGTCAGCTGTGCTGCTCAGCTGTCCACTTTCCTCCAGCCCTGTCATTTCAGCTCTGCCACCAAGGTGAGAGGCTAGAAGGCCTACAAATCCATCTGATTAGTTGGTGTGCGTACGAAGGGTACTGGGGGGCTTAGCCCCCAAGGAAGAGGATCGCCCATCCCCTGCACGACCATCAAGGCCCTAGGGGATCCCTTTTTCCCCACAGACTGAGGACTGACTTAGGGAATCCCAAACGTAAGTTGCCTTTTCATCCTCATTCTATTTCTAGTATTGCTCCCCCAAATCCCCCAGTCTCTAGTCTGTTCAACTTCTTCATTTCATTCTCTGTGAGTAGTTTGGGTTTTAGAAGTGAAATTGTTATTCTACTCCTGAAAAAGCTAGAATTGAAGGGGGTGGGGTCTAGGAAATGGAGTAGTAAAAGAAGGAAAGGCTCATGTTACTCTGAAAACTTAAAATAGCTGAGGCCTGAGGCAGGCTGGGACAGAACTAGGCACAAGGCCCTAAAGTTCAGAGGAGAACAAATGTCTCAATCCATCCCTCCATGCATGCATGTGAGGAGGGGATGTGGGAAGGTGTGTGTGTGATCCTGTCTATTGGCCATAAGTACCTATAGGAAAATCCTGGTCAGGTAGTCTTGAGCACTGTGTTAGAACTGTAAACTGTAAACTCTGGGGCTTCCCCTCAGAGTGAAAGGATGGGTTATCTGTCTGAGAAACTGGGAAGTCCTTCAGACTCTTGGCCTTTTCTCTGGATCTTTCTGTTCATAAGCCTGACCCAAAGGCTTTCTGTTTAACCAAATTCCTCCTGATGTTTCCCCTCCAATGACCACCCTACTTCAAGGGACAGGAATAAAAGCGGGCAGTCAGGGATTAGATTTCATAGTGGGGTCCAACCTTTTGCAGGATGACAGAAAAAGAGGTGCTAGAGTCCCCTAAGCCCTCCTTCCCAGCAGAGGCACCGCAAAGTGGGGTGAGTCTAAGTCTCTTACCACTGTGTTGGGGGGCTGGGAAGCTATTTGTCTGAAGAAAACTGCTTGAACTGATCCCATTTGTCTGTGACTCTTGTCAGTAGGCTAGTCAGCACCCACAGCCCCAATCCTCTAATCTCCGGGCACATTGCTTGCCTCACATTAAAAAAGTAGGTTGACAGTCATTTTAACATTGGGTTTCCTCCACTCCTTCCCTCCCTCAGCTACAGCGGCTGAAGCAGTTATTCAGGAAGGGGTCTCCAGAGCCAAAGGAGATGGAGCTTCCCCCAGAGCCGCAGGCCAATGGGGAGGCAGTGGGAGCCGGGGGTGGGCCAATCTACTACATCTATGAGGAAGAGGAGGAAGAAGAAGAGGAGGAGGAGCCACCCCCAGAACCTCCTAAGCTTGTCAATGACAAGCCCCATAAATTCAAAGATCACTTCTTCAAGAAACCAAAGTTCTGTGATGTCTGTGCCCGGATGATTGTGCGTGAGTTATGAAGGGGAGTGAAGAGTCTGAGGTTGAAGGTAGGGGTTGGGGGAGAGGATTTAGGAGAGAATTGTTTGTAATAGACAGACTGTGGCAAGATTCAGCTTATAAATACTAGAGGTCGAGAGGGTAAGGTCCTAGAAGAGGGAAGTTCAGGGCTATAGTAGGTGCAGTGGTGCAAAGGGAAGGAAGAACTTGGAACTTACCCAAATGTTCTCCTCCTCCAAGTCAATAACAAATTTGGGCTCCGTTGTAAGAACTGCAAAACCAACATACATGAACATTGCCAGTCCTACGTGGAGATGCAAAGATGCTTTGGCAAAATCGTGAGTATGCTTTGTGGAACAAGAAAATGGAAGGGAAGACAGACACAAGTTGCCAGCTACCCCTTGCTAATCCCTCAAGAAATCCCATACAATTTCCCTGCTTCTTCTCCCCTCAGCCCATCTTATTCTACAAAAGGACAAGCACTCATGGGGGAAATAGGGTTCTAGGCCCCATCTTGCTATGTCTAATGTTCACTCCCTTCATCCCATCCTACAGCCACCTGGTTTCCGAAGGGCCTATAGCTCCCCACTCTACAGCAATCAGCAGTATGCTTGTAAGTGCTCCACATACGACCTAAGGGAATGGGCAGGCCTCCGAGATGAATCCTTCCCACCTCTAGCTTTGGAAGCCAAATTCTGAAACATATTTTTCTGAAATCATATTTTTCCAATTAAAGCCTAATATTTTTAAGTGATTTGAATGCAGCCAATAGTCCCCTGATTTAGAGCTGAAGAAGATAAGATTTAGCTAGAATTATATACATACATCTAGCATGTGATAGAGCCAAGATTGAAACCTTAATCTACTAGCCTCCAAATATGTGTTCTTCACATACAAAACCATTTCTAAGTAAGAAATTACTTAGAATCATGCCAGACTCAGGACTAGACCAAGCTACAACTTCCTAATTTGGCAATTCTTAAAAGTACTCATTTAGCAGGACACTGATGGCTCACCCCTATAATCTTAGCTACTCAAGAGCCTGAGGTCTAAGCATCACGGTTCAAAGCCAGCCTGGGCAGGGAAGTCTGTAAGACTTATCTCCAGTTAACCACCAGAAAACCAGAAGTGGAGCTGTGGCTTGAAGTAATAGAACACTAGCCTTGAGCAAAATTACTCAGGAACTGTACCCAGGTCCTGAGCTCAAGCCCCATGACCAGAAGGGAACAAAAATTGACAAATTTCTCAGTGTTTATTTGAAGGACAGACAGAACACTTGAGAATAAACATACTGGTGCTCCCCAGCTCCCACCATGCATGTGCCACTTGGCAAAACAAAAGCAGTTAAAACACCATTCTCTTTGAGAATAAGGATTCCAAACCAGTCCCAACTCCCAAGAAACTTACACCATATACTGCTCTGCTTGGAAGGAGTTCTGAGAAGTATTTTTCTCCATCAGATCACATTTCCAGTAATGTTTTTTAGAGTCCTTTATAGATTGCTGACCTAGATATTAACCCAGCTGATCCTTAATTCTCCTCCTACCTCTACCTCTACCACACACATACATACATACAATTCCCATGGGTAGTTTCTGAGTTCCACCTCTTCTTTATTTAGGGGGGGTCTCTACTCCAAGCCTTTCTCTGACTCTCCAATAATGCTTTTTTTCTCCTCCCATTCCACTAGCCTCCACCAATCGCAATGACCCTGTGTTTGAAACCCTGCGCACCGGGGTGATCATGGCAAACAAGGAAAGGAAGAAGGGACAGGCAGATAAGAAAAATGTGAGCACCATATATCCCCATGGATTACCCCTCCCACCCCAGAAACTCATGGGGCAGGCCCCTCTCTTGGGTATAGAAGTTATGAATACTCCAATGGCATATAACCTAAAAAATACACCCTCACATGCAACTTTTGAATGTGTTTTGGACCAGCCTCAGGTGAAGAACCCATGCCATAGTGCTAGGAAGTTTAGTGGTACAGTGCTTGCCTAAATGTACAGATCCTGGGTTTGATCCCCAGCACCAAAAAAAAAAACCCAAAAACCATAAAGTGCATTTTTTTCAACTCCCTTCTGAATGTGTCAGCTTAAATGCCACAGAAAGGTAGACCCCAGGCATTTGGCATTGCTGGATGACAGAGACAAGAATAATGCTTTTGGATTTAGGGGACAGAATATAGCATGACATTCCAAGTAATCAATTCTGGAACCATGCAAAGGTCCATGAAGATCATGGTCTGACTTATTCATCTTACAGATAGTGAAATGGAGAAACAAAGCTACCTGACAAAGACAACCTCATCTCCTTTTATAATAAAATTGCTAGGTTGATAATGCCACAGATGGTGAACTGAACACCATCTTTCTAGACAACCAGGATATATTATCAATGATGATTGTGACTAGATGGATTCCTAAAGTTGACTGAATTTCGTATGCAAAGAGTCTTGGTCCAACTAAAAGGAGGTTTCTGGTGCCTTCTAACATGAATGGGCCCATGCTCCTAAACCTCTTTCCTCGTTGATACAAATAGCTTGTGAGAAAGCTAGGAAGGAAAACTTATACAAGTAATGACATATTTAAAAGTGACCCACACCAGGCACTGGTGGCTCATGCCTGTTATCCTAGCTATTCAGGGGCCTGCAATCTGGGGATCATGGTTTAAGGCCAGCCTAGGTAGACAAATCTAAGAGACTTATCTCCAGTTAACAAGCAAAAATGTCTGTATGGCTCAAGTAGTAGAGTGCCAGCCTTGAGGAAAAAAGCTAAGCAAGAGCCTGAGACCCTGAGTGCAAGCCCACAAGTTCAAGTACCATAAAATATATAAATAAATAAGCATTAAGTAAATAAGCTTACAGCCCAGAAGGAAGAACCAAAGCTAATAATTTGATAAGGTGGTTTTGTTTTGAGACAATTTTACCATGTAGCCAATCTTGCCTCACCTCCTGAGTGCTGGGATTATAGACATGTGCCACTATGGCCAGTGTTAATAATTTGAAATTTCATACAGAAACATTTACTTATCTCTTCTTGGATCAAAACAAAATCAACTGCCTAGACTGAAAGATCTGACCTCAAAGTAGTTAATATGGAAGGCTGGCACAGAGACGAGATTCTTTGGAGTGAACTTACAAGACACTAGCTGTGTAATTTGGCCATTTCTGAAAAGACTCAGTTTTTATTCTCTGAAGAAAAACTATGAAAACTGCTTTCTATTTTTCTTATATACTGGATTATTTTTAAGGACAGCCAGTATAATGAAGTACCTGGAATCTGGATCATGGAGTGATAGGAAGGGACTGAAAATATGAGAGAAGAAAGGACATGTCAAGTGTCCTCAGATATTTATGGGAACTATGTTGGTTCCACATTCGTAGCTCCAGAGGGCAAATCAGGACCAATAAATAACTAAAGATTACAAGGAGACTGACATGGGCTTAATATAGGAAATTGGGGAAAAAAAGTACGTGGGGCTACTTTATAAGGCAGTAGATTCCTTGGCATTAGCTACAATCAAAATATACCTGACAGTATATGTCAGAGGAAGTCTCTGAATTAGGTAGGTGGTTGGACTAGATATTTCTTTCAAATATCTTTCTAACCCTGAGATCCTGAAGTTCCCTGGCCCAGATGGAGAGCCACAGCAAGCATAGGTTCCCAAGACAACAGCTCCTTAACTTGCTCCCTCCAGCCTCTAGCAGCCATGATGGAAGAAGAGCCAGAGTCTTCCAGGCCAGAGGAAAGCAAGCCTCAGGATGGTGAGTGTAACCCATCTCTATCAGCAAAGATGGGGTAGAGGTCAGGGACTTAGTAGTGCCAATGGGGGAGGGCAGATTTGGATATAAAAAAATGCCTTCTAACACTGGCATGGTGGCTCAAGCCTGTAATCCTAGCTACTCAGGAGGTTGAGATCTGAGGATCAAGTTTAAAGCCAGCCCAGGCAGGAAAGTCTGTGAGACTCTTATCTCCAATAAACCACTCAGAAAAGCAGAAGTGGTGCTGTGGCTCAAGCAGTAGAGCACTGTCCTTGAGCTGAAGAGCTGAGGCCCAGAGTTCAAGCCCCACCACCAAAAAAAAAAAAAAAAAAAGCCTTCTAGAACTGGGTGCCATTGACTCACATCTGTAATCCTAACTAGCTACTGAGGATGCTGAGATCTTGAGGACTGTGATTCACAGAAAAACCTGTGAGATTCTATCTCTAATTTACCACCAAAATGCCAGAATGAGAGTGTGGAATAAGTGATTGAGTGCCAGTCATGAGCAAGCAAGTTTGAGTGAAAACCTCAATGTCAGGGAAAAAAAAAAAAAAAAGCCTTCCAATACAGGGTAAAGGCTGCCTTCTAGGAGATAGACAATTTGTTGGTGTTTCCCAGGAAACAGCCCTGAAGGGGACAAGAAGGCTGAGAAGAAGACACCTGATGACAAAGTGAGAATCCTTCCTCCCTGCAAGGAGCCCAATTTAAGTTTGACCCCCACTCATGGCCTCAATAGAAATTCCCGTCACTCTTGATCCACTCTTCATTTTAACCCCACCCACCCAGCACACAGAGTAAACTTGCAACTCAAGAACCTAGAATAAAGTTGGAACACATTGTGTCTGGAGAACACCCCTCAACAAGGGGTGGAGGAACCCTGAGACTCATCACCCTCTTTCACTCCCTTAGCACAAGCAGCCTGGTTTCCAGCAGTCTCATTACTTTGTGGCTCTCTATCGGTTCAAAGCACTGGAGAAGGACGATCTGGATTTCCCGTGAGACTCCTTCTGAGGAGAAGTGGGGAGCACTGAAGAGGGGGAAAGCTGGACTCCTATGGGGAAGGAAATGGGAGAAAGGACTCAGAAGTTCTAGTCCATTGGGGCTGGGGCTGGAACATAGCCAGGGACTGGATTGTGAGGCCTCTAAATCTCAGACCCTTCTCTTCCTATTCCAGGCCAGGGGAGAAGATCACTGTCATTGATGACTCCAATGAGGAGTGGTGGCGAGTACGGGAAATCGCCGGGGCTGATGCGGGTGTGATACGGGTTTGGGCATAGGATCTTGAGTAAAAAAAGAATCGATTCAACCTACTATCTTCCCTAGGGGAAAATCGGAGAGAAAGTTGGGTTTTTCCCTCCCAATTTCATCATTCGGGTCCGTGCTGGAGAACGTGTGCATCGGGTAACGAGATCCTTCGTGGGGAACCGAGAGATCGGGCAGATCACTCTCAAGAAGGACCAGGTAGCTCCGGTAGCCGATCACATCGAGACTAGGCCAAGAACCTAACCTAGGTTCCCCTGCCTTCATCCGCCCTTTTCCCTAGATCGTGGTGCAGAAAGGAGACGAAGCTGGAGGCTACGTCAAAGTCTACACCGGCCGCAAGGTGGGGCTGTTTCCCGCCGACTTCCTGGAGGAGATTTAGGTGTGCCGGCACCTGCAGGCCGGAAACACCTGTGCTCCATTCTGGGCGGGGCCCAGTGGAGGTTGGGGAGAAAAAAAGGAACGAAAGCAATTGGACTGCGGGTGGGGAGGGTTGGGAAGGCGCACCAACCAAGACGGAGCTTCCGGGAAAGGGACTGGTTCCTGCCTCCCTCCCCCGACCTGGGGCTTCGATGATTTTTGCTATTCGTTGCCTGGAGCAGCCCGTATCCCGCAAGCCCCTCAAGGCCTTTAGCCTACAGAGCTGGGGAGGGGTGGGGGGTGGAGTGGGAGGGCGGGGAGATGCGTCTCCACTAGGAGGCGCCGAGGAGGGAATCGCGGGGCCTAATTGTCAAATGTTGCCCATTAAAGTTTTGACAAAAGTTAGAAAAGTTGGTTCTTTAACTGGGGACTTGAAGGCCTGCGGGGGGCGGGGGGAGAAACCTCCCCAGCGTTTCCACCTCCCTATGGTCGGGTAAGCGCTGGGGCTGGGGCTGGTGGGAGGCAGGAAGTCTGATACCCCCTTCAGGCTAGGCCTGTGGAAGGAGTGTCGACCTAAAGCCATCGCCCGGACCCAGCAGGATCTTCCCGGCTGGGAAGGTCTCTAGCTCTCGGTGATTCTGCGGCGCGCGACCCCTCGCATTTCAGAACCTGGCTCAGCGCCCAGCAAGGCCGCCAGGGGGCGATGCGAGATCTCAGTTGGAGAGAGAGGGATGGGGAGGGGCTGGGGGGTGGCTAAGGGGAGAGAATCGGAGACACCAAGGCTGAGACCCTAGGCCTGGGAGGGGGTGGGGTGCGTGCCGTCTCCATGGCAACACTTCCTCGAGTCCTCGGGGAACGGAGCTAGCGAGGCCGGGGGGCCTAACCCCTCCCGCGCGGCCCCTGCCCCAGCCCTTTCCGACAGGTACGGAGCGAAAGAGGACGCGGGGCAGACAGCTCACCCGCTCTCGCAGAGACCGCCCCCCTGCGGCGCGCCGTATGCAAATGTTATTATTTGCATATGCAAATATGCAAATAAGCCGGCCCTGGTCAGGGCGGCAGGTGGCGAGGAGCGGGAAGGTGTGGGGAAGAGAGCAGAAGACGTGGAGTTGGGGACCTGGGAGCGGACCACTGAGAGACAACCTGGTGTGGTCGCTGGAGTGGGGCAGGTGGGAGGGTCCTGAGCTTGATGGTGGGTGGGGGAGGGTCAGCCTGGCCAGCCAGAAGCTGCTCTCGTCTGCCCGTTGTCTGCCAGAACTGAGGTTGGCATCGCCTAGCAAGGTTGGCAGCGGGAGCCCGGGCACCATCTGCTGCTGGCAGGGGGGAGGGCAGGGGCTCAGCTGGGCTGGGGAAGAGGGAGGCCCGGGACGCCCCCCCCCCACTTCCATACAGAAGGCTGAGGTATTGGGGGGGGGGAATACACAAGACTCGCGCAGAACCAGTTTGGGTTCTTGTTCCCTTTGCCCTTGACTCTTCTGGACGCTTGGGGGTGCGGGGTCATAGAGGAAGACTCGCGCAGCCCCCCTTTATCACGGCCGGATGGGAATGGGAACAGATCATAGGCATACACACTCCAATCACACACAAGTCAACCTTTTGCCCCCATCTCTCCCCGGGATTTCGCTACCAGAGTGAGAGGAGGAACGGCCAGGGCTCAGATCGCCTGTATTCACCCCGCAGTCGGAGGGACTCAAAACCCGAGCCCCGAGATCGTCGAGAGCCCCCTCAATGCTGAAGCAAAACCAATTTACTGGCTCATTGGGCGGCGATGCTGGCGTGGGGGTGTCGAAGAGCAGAGAGAGCGGCTGTTCTCCCCTACATACTCGCGGGGCGCCTCCCCCCCTCGCCTTACCGAGCCGGCAGCTGTCCCTAATTAGAGCGGCGGTTTAATTGGATTTATCAGCAGTTAATAGGAAATTAAGCAAAGGGCCCGAGAGAAGGGGGGCGGGAGGAGTGGAAAGACGGGTTGTGCTGAGCTTCAAGGAGAGGTGCTGGGGTACCAGAGCTGGGGAAATGTTACATCAGTGTCACGACTGAGCCCTAAGGCCACGCCCTTCCCCTTAGTACTCCCCCTGCGATTGAGCCCTGGCGGGTGGGACCAGGAGCAAGTCCTGAGAGAGGGCAGCGACCCTGTCTGAGCTCCCAGCACCACCCACTCCCCCAAGCAGCCGCCTGGGTGATGGATGACGATGCTATATGCTGCAAAGGTCATAAGTCTGGGCCAAGGAGCAGACTGAATTGAAAATAGGAGGAAGGCCGAGGTACTGGAGTCCAGGACACAATTTGCATCTCACCCCTCTCCACTGCTCACTCTATTTGTGTGTTGGGTGTGTGTTTACTGAGTTTCTTTATGGGGGGGGGGCTTGCATGCAGAGCCTCTCCGTCCCTCCCTCCCTGACCTCCCTTCTCTCAGTCTTTGTCTCTGTCTCTCTCTCTCCCGTCTGTCTTCCTTAGCTTTTTTACTCAAGGCTGGTACTTGACCACTTGAGCCACACTTCCACTCATTTAAAAAATAAAAACGGGCCTTGAAATCAGAAGATTGGGGACCATGGGAGATGAAATAGCATAGTGACCCTCTCTTCAACCCTCATCTCAGCCTTGCTGGGGATCCTGGGAATCTTCTAGTACTGCTGCCAGTGTCACCCATGGTATCTCCCCCACCCCCAACTCCCATCAACTGCTCAAGTTGGGAGCAGCAGGTCTTCCATTGTGCAGGAATATGCTATATGCCCCTGTACAGAGATGGCATAAGGTCTGCACCACCTGCAGCTTGGAGGGCCAAGGGAAGGTAGCTTGCCGGCAGTCAAGCCCAGCCCACTGTCCTCTGATCCACAGCCCCAGGGCCTCCTGTCACCACTACCTCATTATACAGTTAATCTAAGATAGGCCAACAAAGTCTGCTCTGGGGGACCCTGGTGACCTCTCTGCCCCACTCCACAGTGCAGAGCACAGATACCAGTTCCCGCGTGTGCGTGGTTCTGCATGTGCAAGGTTCTAAGTGGGTGTGGTGGTGCAGGGTCTCTCCCTCGTTCCTTCCCCCCTCTCCTAATTATGAGCACCTATACCCCTTACGTGTGTGCAGTATGTTTGTCTGTGTCCTGCAAATATGTCTGAACCCCAGGTGTTTGGGCATATCTCAATTGTGTGCACAAGCTATGAATGTGTAGTGTTGGGTCTGTGCACCTCCCTCTTGTGATTTCTGTCTGTTTAAACCCCAGGGTGTGTAGGTGTCTGAGTGCTTGTTCATATATGTATTTGCGAGTCTACGTGTCAGTGCCTTCTTTATGCCTGAGTGTGCCACCCCAGCCCACCCCCGCCCCGCAGGCGGACATCTCTGTGCTTCTGTGTCTCCAAGACTGACTGAGAGCAAAAATCAGGAAGAGCGACTTGTGAGTGTGTTGCTCTGGCTTCTGCTGCAGGTGTGTGTGTGTGTGTGTGTGTGTGTGTCGGTGACAGTGCGTGGGCGTGTGCCTGGGTGTGAGCCGCCGCGGCAGTGTGTACCCGAATGACAGTGTGATGCACGCGCGCATGTGTGCGCGCACTCGAGCACCCGAGACCGTCTGATTAAGTCTCCCGCCCCCTCTCCTTCCTCTCCCTATTTCTATTCCTCTCTCCTCTCCCGGCCGGCTCAGCTCCGCCGTCCGCATCATCTCCATCCATTATTGAAGAAACAGCCGCGTCCGCTCCAATCACATCAACACCCCCGCCCCCTCCCGGGTCTGCTCGCCCCGTGGCCCCTCTGGGTGCTCGGGAGGGGAGATGCCCGGGCGTAGCTGAGCGCCGGGCGGCAGCCGGCTCGTGACCTCGTGCCCCGGACTGGGCCAGGCACTAGGACGCCGGGGTCCCTTGCGGAGACCGCTTTGCATAAACAGATGGCGCGGGCGTCTTTGTCTCGCTCGGCTCGGCTCGGCTCGCTCGCTGGCTTGCTTGCTCGCTCGCTGCCCGGCTTCTAGCTCCGCTTCTGTCTGGCTGATGCAATCATGATCATCTCAGAGCCTCGGGACCAGCGCCCTTAATAGTGGCAGCGGGGGGTGTGGGGGGGGGAGTTAGGAGCCCTGAGACTCTTGAACAGATGCTGGGCACGGTGGCTTCCTTTGGGGGAACCCCCACCAGGCCCCACGGCTGCAGAGGGAAGATACAAGTAGAGATGAGGTTACAGGAAGGTGGAGACGACCAAGAGGTGGACCCTGAGCAGTGCCCTGAGGTGTCCTGGGCTCACCCACTGGACCGCTGAGCAGCCCCCTCCCCCTCCAGGGGCAGCAAGCCAGATAATGGGACCAGAGCTGAGGAATGGGGACAAAGGAGAATGGAAAATCTTTGCAAAGAAAGATACACGGTGAGACAGAGAGAGGGAAGGAGAGACAGACAAGAGAAACAAATGCAGGACAAAGCCAGAATATAAGGAAAGGAAACACAGAAAGAGAGCAAGAGAGAGGGGGTAGAGAGAGCGAGAGCGAGAGAGAGAGAGCGCGCGCTTTAAAAGACAGCCTGATGAAAAGGGCAAAAGAAGGGCAATTAGGGGCTCCGGACAGGCCAAGCCAGAGATGGAGGGCAGTGCAGGGAAAGGCCTGAGCCTGGGGTGCTGCCTTAAGCAGCCAAAGCGGTACCTTCCGGTTTCCCTCTCTACCCTTAGGCCCCACCTCTCACCCCAGGAGTGGAGGCTGGGAGACCTACTGGTATGGTGGAGTGACCTATACACTTCCAGGCACGGATTTACTTTCCCACAGGGGGAGCTCGAGGTCTCCCTGGCCCCCTGAGAGCCTGAAGCCGCTAGGCCTCCAGGGGGCGCCCGCACCCACGGCCTCCGCGCCCCCCCTCCCCCCGCGTCCGCGCCCCCCCCCCCAACCCGCTAGTTCCGGCGAGCCCAGCTGCATTTGACTTGCTGCGCCGCCAGCTTGCGGATTAGAATCCGGATGAGGTTTGGTGTTGAAGAGTTTAGTCCCAGCGGGACTACCCCGGGCTTCGCCTAATCCTCGGCTAAAGAGCGGTCCCGCTCTCGGCTGGGCCAGCCGGGCCCGGGTTGCGGGGAAAGTGCAGGGAGGAAGGGGGTGAGGGGAGATCTGGGATCCAAGCTCCGTCCCAGCTCGGTCCCAGAGACTACAATCTACCCAGAAGTGGAAATCAACGAAGGGAGCCGGACCTCGAAATAGGCTCACAAAGACGGGAGACTAGAAGCAGGTGCAGGATCAAGCAATAATGCAATAGTGGGGCTTGGAGAGGGGCATAGAGGGCCCCAAAGGCAGATGAGACAGCGATAGTCCTAGAAGAAAGAAAGAACCGGACGGAGGCTGTGGGTCACACGTTAGGCCCAGGCCACCAAAACGCAGGAGAAGAGGCGCACGGAGGGTGGACGGGCAGGCGAGGAGCCCAGAGCAAAGGGACACGGTGCAGGCCGGCCCTTCCGACGTCCTGTCTCCCCAGCTGTCCCACGCAGCGCCAGATGTGCAGCCCAGCTGGGCGGCCGCTGGAGCTCCAGCTCCTAGATTGATTTTTTTTTAAGTCCCAGAGACTTGGAGGGCTGAGGACACCTCCTCCCTAGCCAGACCCTGAAGGTGCCGACGCTGGGGGGGATGGTGGAGGGGGGGTTGCTCAGCTCGAGGCTCTGACATCCATCAGTTCCCCCTCTCCCCCCTCCCTATCCCACATCGCAGCGAGTCTCTGTCTCTTTGTTCTCGCGGTGTCTCTGACACTTTATCTCATTATCCGCCGGAGGGAGGCGGAGAGCCCGGGACCCCGCAGCCTAATTACAGCCGCGCCTGTCAGCGCAGGGGGCGGGGGAGGTATCAGTTTTCGAAAAAGGGAGGGGCTTCACAGGATGTGTCCTACCCCTGCCAATACCCCGAGGGGCCCAATGGGCGGTGGGGTGCACGGCTCACCCGATAACACCCTTCCCCCCACCCCCCGCCAAGGGGCAGGCTCCAGAAGGTTCAAGAAGTGGGGGTGGGGGGGGCGGGTATTCAACAGGATTCGGCTGCAGAGGCGATCAGGGAGGTGGAGGTTAGCTATGGGAATGGAAAGAAGCAAATGAGGCTCTCTGCTCCTAGGTCCCCCAAACCCCAGTTCCCCCAAGGACGGGGAGGGGGGGCCTGGGAGCCTTCCCACCCCAGCAGCACAGCAGACACCAGAATTGGCTGAGGAAAGAAGCAATCTCCATGCTCGACAGTTATGTCTTGTTCTTTTCTACTTCACCATCGTTTCTATCTTTGTTTCCCTCACTCCTTTCCTTTCCTTTACTCCTAGGACCTGGGTAGAGGGGATGGCTTTCTTAGGGTGGGAGGCTCCACCTCCACTTCTACCTCAGATCTCAAAGCGTCTCAAGTTCTCAAATGCTTCCACTGGTGTCTAATATCCTAAGCTGGGATTCACATATCTCCAGCCCCAACCACTATTCTAGGCCAACCACAGTTGGAAATGTCCATCTTACATCACATGGTGGAAGGAGCAGAACCAGGGAGTTCAGAACCTGCTAGCTCCGGAGAGGCCCCATGGGAAGTGCAGCAGATGCCCTTACCAGTCCCTGAAAAGCCCGAATTGGATGCAAGTGATGCTTGCCTGCCCCAGACCTGGCTCCCCCTTCAATCCATTTCTAGATGACTTTGAGGTCTCTCCCTCAGACACTCATCGTTTCCCATGGGATGGAGTGCCTGCCTCTGGAGGAGTTGAGGAACATAAACTTCTTGGCTTTCCAATCCCCCTCCTACTTTGGACCTAGAATTGTGGGAAGAAGCAAACTGGGTCGGGTGGGGTGAGTCTGGAGGAGCTGTTGGGCTGGGCAGGGCTGGGCTAGGCTGACCCCTCCCCGGTGGGGGGCGGGACCCCAGGAGAAGGGATAGGACAGATCTGCAGGAGAGGGTCAGACACTGGAAAGGCAAGATGGCAGGAACCAGTTTAGGGGCTCGCTTCTATCGGCAGATCAAAAGACATCCAGGGGTGAGTTGAACCCTCAGATTCTAACTCCTCTCTTGCTGCCCCACTCCTCAAATTCCCGAGTCCTGAGCAAAGCTCAGTTCTCCCACTCCTCACCTAGCACCTTGGTTCTTGCTATCTGTCACTGTTCTAGGAATGCACTTTGGACAGTATTGCCATAGGGCAAGGGAGATTATGTGGGAAACTGTAGTTGTAGGCTCCAGGATACCTCTCACAGAACGGAGGGGTGCATTAGACCTTGGGTGGGGGAAGGACGGGCGGGCAGAAAAACTTGAAATGGCAAGTGGGTATTGTAAGGAGGGTACTGACATGCCCTTGGTCTTCCCTACAGCTTATCCCGATGATCGGCTTCATTGGCCTGGGCATGGGCAGTGCTGCACTCTACTTGCTGCGACTGGCTCTGCGCAGTCCAGATGTCTGGTAAAGACTGGGCTTGGGATACAATCAAGGGTGGAATAGACCTCTTAGGAATAAATGGTGGGGATAGGTGTCCTAGTAGGGGTCATCAGACCCCATGTCTCCTCCTGCTATCTCATCTGGCCTGTTGAGTCTGGAGCTGGTTCCTGATCTGGACAACCCACTTCAGCCCACCTGGCCCATTCCTTGGTGGCTTGGTGGGTTCAGGGCTAGGAATCCCTGTAGCTCCCAGCCTGGTTGCCATAGCGACACAGCTCTGCAGGCTGCCTCGGGCTTTTGGGTACCTCTATCTGCACCCAGAAGCAGCCTGGGATGCAGGAGCTACAAAGAGGGCCTTGGGGTTTGGGGTAGCACTGAGACTTCTTGCTGGAAGCAGCAGGGATGGGAGGGGGGAATTCTTTGATAAGCAAAAAGCATACCTCTGAACCTACCACATTGTTTGAATTTGAACCAGCAACCTGTCTCTCAGATCTCTGCCAGTCCCACAACTCACTGAGGGGTTCACTTAGGGTGTCAGGGAACGGGTGAGCGTCCCCAGGCAAGGCTGTCATTCCGTCATTAGGCCCCACGCTGACAAGGATGACAAGCTTCTTGTCTAGCTTGTCAGTACCTGCTAACATGCCCCTCCTCTGTCAATCTCTGGGATATGGGCCCTCTGGCACGGGAGACCAGGGGTGGGGGTGGGAGGCGGTCCGAGGGTGGGAAGCAGAGACCCTGGCTGGACCTCAGAGTTCATTTCAGAGTCAGTCTTGGCTCCCAGAGGGAAGACATTAATCCTCCTCTACCCTCCACAGCTGGGACCGAAAGAACAACCCAGAGCCCTGGAACCGCTTGAGTCCCAATGACCAATACAAGGTACCACCTGGTGGATCTAGGATGTTCCCATCCACTCCCCTCCTGATCCCTGGCTCTCCCCTGCCCGCCCACAGTGAGAGCAAAGGAAGGCATGGGTCCTCATGCAAACCTCCTTTCCCTCTTAGTTCCTTGCAGTTTCCACTGACTACAAGAAGCTGAAGAAGGACCGGCCAGACTTCTAAGCCAGGCTGGGCTGTTCCATGTAAACCACCAAGTCGTTTCTTATTGCATTCTCTGCCCAGACCCCACAGCATCAATCCAGCCACCCTTCCCAGCCAGCTTCTGCTTACATAGGCCAGATTCCCACGCAGAGGGGGGGCAGCTCCACCCCCACCCTTCTCCCGGGCTCTCAGCGGAAGCACCTCTGACCTGTGGCTCCAGTCCCATGTGGGGGAAGGGAAGGGTGGTCAAGAAGACAGACAGCAGCTGGGGTAGACCCAAAAGGCTCAAGCCAGCCCTTCTGCCTTCTTACCAGAACCTTGCAGGGTGTGGCACAGGGATACGTGTTGAGCGTGACCAACGTGTGCCAACAGCAAGCGGGCCTCAGAGTGCCAAGAGACGTGGCAGGCCTCACGTTAACTCAAGCTCTGGAAACCGCCTAGGGGCGGTGCTGCCCAGGCTCGACTGGGCTCATCCTGACAGCCCAGTCTGTCCAGGATGGGGCACCTCTGCCAGGCACCCTCCCCTGTCCAAGCCTGCTACTGCCTGCCAGTGACACCTCCCGCCTCGCACCCGGGCCTCCCCCCATGCTACTCCCTACCCCTCCCCTCCCATGCTCCCCATATGTCCCTGGGGATCAAACAGAAGCAGCCGTGGGCAAAATACAATTTCATTTAACAAATTGAATTTGCTGCGCCTGCTAATCACGTCTGGTGTCGGCTCTGATCAGAGACAGAGAGAGGCGGCTGCAGCCCCGGGGGTCCTTGTGGTGGTGGTGGGAGGAAAAGAGAAATACACACACACACGTTGAGGAGTCAAATCACCAGCTAGCCCAGGGGACCCCTCCCAGAGTAATAGAAATGGGGGGGGGAGGTTAGCATTTTATTAGATAAAAACAGGAAGGAGGGTACCTAACCCCCTACCCCATTCTCCGGCTCAGCAGGGTAACTCTTCCTTGGCGAGAAAGAATAAGAGTGCCTAAAACTGAGAAAAAGGCAGAAGGATAGGACAGAAAGCTGATGTCCTTCTAAAGTCCAGTTAGAAAACAAAACAGCTACAAATTCTGGGAAGAGGGACTATACCTGGATCTAAGTGAGAGGCCTTCACCCCCCCACACCAAAAAATAGAAAGGCAAATGCTGTCCCTTTGCCCTGGCCCAGGTAGGCAGGAAGGAAAATGACTTCCCATCTGTGGCTCTTGATTCCCAGGTGCTTTCAGTGTTCGTCAAAACCAGGCATGGGGAAAGCCCTGGCAAACTGCTCCACCTGTTGCCTGAGCTTGGCCAGACGCTGACTTGTTTCTGGGTCCTTGAGCAGGAAAGATTTGAAATCCTGGAGCTTGGCTAAAAAGAGGTGAGGAAAGAAAGAACAATAAAAACTGGTCAGAACTCTAGGCAGATCACCCAGTGAACACCCAGCATAGGGAGTGGACAGTGGGTGGACCGTGGTGGGAGAGATCTTCCTAACTCACTCACCGGTCTTGCTCTTCACCTCCAAGCCAATCTTGACCCCTTCATCGATAAAGTCCACAACTCTCCGAAAGTCATCCTCACGGAACTGCCGAGAAGTCAAGGCTGGGGCCCCTAGGGCAGAGGCAAATGACAGGATTAGCATGGCCAAGGTCATGGGGCAGCCACAGTGTGGGAACCTCCTCAAACGCAGGTCTCACCAAGCCGCAGGCCCCCAGGGGTAATGGCACTTCTGTCTCCAGGACATGTGTTCTTGTTGGCAGTGATGGATATAAGCTCCAGTACCCGCTCAGCACGAGCTCCATCTAGGCCCTTGGGCCGAAGGTCTACCAGCACCAGGTGGTTGTCAGTGCCACCTAATTGGGGAGCAGAAGGGTCAGTAATGAGGAAATAATAGGCTCTGAACCTTTGCCTGTGTGTGGAAAAGCAATCACCCACCCCCTGGCTCACCAGACACCAGTGAGTAGCCTCGCTTTAGCAGGGCATCAGCCATGGCTCGAGCATTCTTTAACACCTGCAGGGAGTACTCCCGGAACATGGGGGTGCAGACCTGGAGATGAGACAGCAGCACTTGCGATCTCAAGCCTGGTATACACCCTGCTGTGTCTCAACTGCCCCTGACACCCAGCATGGTTCCACGATCCCAGCCTGGATACTTCCCGTTCACTTTCCTTCAATCAACCTTAGTTAACAAGGTATAAAATAGAAAGTCTCTGGACCAGGCTGGGTGCTGGTGACTACACTGTAATCCTAGCTATTCAAGAGGCTAAAATCTGAGGATTGTAATTCAAAGCCAGCCTGGGCAGGGAAAATCCATGAGACTCTTATCTCCAGTTTAACCACCAAAGAGCCACAAGTGGGGCTGGGAATGTGTCCTAGTGGTAGAGTGCTTGCCCTAGCATGCACGAAGCCCCAGGTTCAATTCCTCAGTACCATATATACAGAAAAAGCCAGAGCTTCAAGGCTTCAGCCTTGAGCTGAAGAGCTCAGGGACCACATCCAGCCCAGGCCTAGGCCCACGCCGAGTTCAAGCCCTATGACCAACTGAAAAAAAAACCACAAGAGGTGCTGTGGCTTGCCTTAGCAAAGGACAGTGCTTAGGCTCTGAGTTCAAGTCCCAGGACAGGAAGGAAGGAAGCAGGAAAGGAAGTAAGGGAGGAAGGGAGGAAGGAAGGAAGGAAGGAAGGAAAAGAAAGAAAAGAAAAAAGGAAGCAAGCATGCATGAGAGAGCAAGTCAGCTTCTGGGCCAACGTCCCACCCCCCTTCACAAGGGCAGACTCTCCAACCTGCTTAAGGGCCACAGCTACTGCAGCAATGGCGTGATTGTGAGGTCCCCCCTGCAGGGATGGGAACACAGCAAAATTGATTCGGTCCTCAAATGTGTAAGGGATCTCCCGGCCAGTCTTGGGGTCCACAGTCTGTACTCCCTTCCGATAGAAGATGAGTCCTGACCTGTGTGAAAGGTGGGTAGTGAGAATCTAAGCTAAAAATATAGGACCAGGAATACAAAAACAGGAAGAGCTCTCGGGATCTTTCAGTTGTGCGTGATGCACTGGATTCCAATCCCTCACTCCACTCCCAAATCCCCGGCCAAGGAATGGCTACCATGGGCGAGAGAAAGAGGACTGTCACAGTCTGAGTAGAAGCTTTTAGTCTGCAGGTGGGGATGAACTTCTCTCAAATCCAGCCCAACAATGTGCCCAAGAATAGGACAGGAAAGTGGAGAATGGCAGGGCCTGACCTCAGGGGAACCTTACCTGGCCCCTCGAAGAGTCTTGTGAGTGGTGGTGGTGACAATGTCAGCATACTTGAAAGGTGAAGGGATCACCTTGGCAGCCACTAAGCCACTGATGTGGGCCATATCTGCCAGGAGGTATGCCTTGACCTCATCACACACCTGGATGGATGTAGTTATAGGCCTCAGCTAGGGAAAATCCCAGACATGCATAACCCAAGGCTGCCCTCCCCCCCCCCCCACACACACCCCAGGAAGGTCCAGGACTACAGTCTCCCACCAACCTCTCTCATTCTGGCGTAGTCAATGAGGCGAGCATAGGCACTGGTACCAGCTATAATAAGTCGAGGTCGGAAAAGCCGAGCAGTCAACGCCAGCTGATCATAGTCAATGAGGCCAGTTTGGGGCTGGGCAGACAGACAAACAGCTAAAGCCCTAAGATGGCAGATTCTATGGGCTATCCAGGAAAGGAACACCCTGGACTAAGCAGCCACCTCCCAGGTCTAAGAGTACTTACATTGAGCTTATAGGGCATAGACTCGAAGAAGATGGATGTGATAGAGATCCGCTTGACATCAGACATATAGCCATGGGTGAGACTATGAAGGAAGAAGAAGGCCCCAGAGTGAAATAACCCACACTGACCATGCACTTCCTGCCCAGCTGCACTGGTCTCTGTCTCCTAGAACAATGGCCCTAGTTTGCCCTGCTCTCATTGCTCTGTTCATTCTGTGGTGGTCACATCTAAAAAGTGCATGGTCCATCTGCATGCAACATGGCAGGTACCCAATAAATAACTCCTTCCTCATGTCATTACTGTCCACCACACCCAACATCCATCCCATTCATACTTACTGGCCCCCGTCGGGCAGGTCCAGCCCCATAATCCGGTCATGAGGCCGCAAAAGGGCTGTATAGGCAGCTAGATTAGCAGGGGACCCTGAATAGGGCTGGACATTCACTCCCCATTGTGCAGGATCCAAGTCAAAGGCTTCCAAGGCCCGGCGCTGGCATAACAGTTCGATTTTATCCACTACCTCTGCTCCTCCATAGTATCTGCCATGGAGAAGAGCACATAAGAGCACAAAGGAAGGGGTCCCAACCAGTGGCACAGGACTGGGATGGCCACTGCTCCATGAACACTGGTATGGTACAGGAAGCTACCACCGCTGGGAGCACCATCCCTGATGTTGCCCTCCAGCCCTCTGGTCTAGCCCTCACCTCTTGCCAGGATAACCCTCCGAGTACTTGTTGTTCAGACAGGACCCCAGGGCCTCCAGCACAGCTCGGCTGCAGAAGTTCTGGGGTGGTGGGGGGGTAATGTCAGAAGTCATTGAGTCCCCTCTCCTGGAACCCCACAGCCCCACCCTTCCAGAGCTCACAGGCTGCAGTTGGGGGTGGGGGAGGAAGCCAAGCTGCACAAAAAGCTCTGTTTCCTCTCAGCTGCCATGATGGGAATTCCTAGAAATGCCACCAGTGCACTAAGACCTGTGTGTCCAGGCTCCTCTTTCTTCTTGGGAGGGAGGGAGAGAGGGAGGGAAGAGATGACACTTTAGGGACCCTGGAAGTTTCCTAACCCCATAAACTGAACTGGTCTTGCCTTCACAGGACAGAACAATAGTTCTACAGGGCATAGGCCCTGCAGGAATGTCTTGAAGGTGAAAGGGAAATGTGGAGCAATACCACATGACTTCTTACTTCCTGTAACCCATGCTGGCTCACGCCTTGCCCCCAGGTCTCACCTCTGAAGCAATGAGCTCCAGGCCACGACACTGCCTGTCCTTTTCCCCCTGCAGTAGCTCCCACATTTCAGGATCACTGTCTGACAGACGCTCCTGCCCTGTCCAGCCTCCAGTTGTTTCCCGGGTCTGAGTCTGGGCTGCTTCGATGTGCTGAGCCCGAGTTGCCATCTGTACCAGCCGACCACATCTCTGCACAGGCTAGAGCGGCAGAAAAGGCCAAAGTCAAATAGAAATTGTCCAGAGAAAGTCTCCCATTTACCCTCAGCCATGCTTATGGACAGGGCCCTCTGGCCTGTGTCTGGTCAGCCTGTTCCAGTTAACCCCACCCCACGTCCACCTTTCAAAGGCATTGCTAAAGCCAAGGTTGAGATCAATGTCCAAGGGGTAAGTTCTGAATTGCTCCACTCACCTTGGCTCAGAATCTCCTCTGCCCCTCCTCATCTGCTCCCCCCCCCTCAGGCTTGTCTTCCAGAAGCCCCACATCTCCCAAATTCAGGGGAGATGCTGAGATTTCAGACCAGCCCTGCAATGCTACCCCCCCCCCAAAAAAAAAGTGACTCTGGAAAGGGCCTTCATAAACAGCTAGCCCAGGAGATTATGGTGATAAACCATACACAGCACAGGAAATGGAGCTTCAGCAGTCCCCAGGAAGGTGTCCGGCATAGAGATGGGGAAGGCAGGGAAGCCAAAACCCATATCCTGTACCC